AAGGAAAAAAATTAGTTTCTGTCCTAATTCCAGTTAAATTCACAGTAATATCACTCCTAGTATTCAATATAAAATTTAGAACGAATTTAGAATATTTGTAGTTGCTTTTTTTGTATTTTCTAGTTAATATTGGGAAAATTATCAATTAGTTGTTAAAATTGGATTTTAGGTTATAAAATTCGGGAAAAATTCCAGAAGGTGATATTTTAGTTCTACAAGTTTATTTTGGAAGAATATTATTTTTGTTTAATTTTTGCTATTATACATGCTTAATTCCTTGTTAATGTTGAATTTATTCATTGTATTGTTAAATGAAAAAAATGATGTTTATTAGCTAAATTTGTTTTGGGCATGAATTGACTAAAGGAATATGGATTGACTTGTTGACCGAAAATTAGGGATTAAAATTAATAATTTGGACTAGTTGTTTGAAATGATGAAATAGTAATTAATAATTGTTAGCCATATTCATTAATTAAATTCTTGGAAAATTATCTCTAACTTGTCTATGAGATTAGAAAATAATTTAAGCCAACCATATTCAAGCACATTAATAAGGCCTAGAAATAGGATAATTTAATGAAAGGGATTTACATCTTGTCTATGAGAGATAAATTCAATTGCTTAAATAATGAGTTTAACTAGTTAATGAATTCGGCTATTTTTATTAATTAAAATATTGGAGAATTATTTCTACCTTGTCTATGAGGTTAGAATTTAATTCAAGCCAACCATTTTTGAACACATTAATGACACCTAGAAATAGGATAAATTAATGAAAATAGTTTCTATTCTTGTCCATGAGGAAAGAAATTATTAGTCCAATTTTAGTTTTAATTTCCCTAATTATAAGGTCCAAGAATATATCCATTTCTAATTACTCAATTCATTGCCCTTATTTGCACCAATCCATTTAAGTTTAATATTATATTTTTTCCTTTAGTCTATTTTTGAGCCATCATTAGTATTTGCACAATTTAATTTACCTTCTTTTCCAAAAAGTAGTTTAGAAAATCAATCAAAAGTTTTAATTTGGAAAGCTTCCAATAATTTGCGATAACCTGTGACTGGACTTGAAATCAAGAAGCTCCTCCGCCATTCCTCGAGAGACACGATACTCGGGGAAAAACCGAAAGGTTAGACTCCGTTTTACTACAACGCCGCGAAAGCGGTCATTGATTGCAATTCTTTTTAAGTTAGGCAGACCGTCGGTGGCGGTCCCGTCAGCCGTAGGCGGCCACAGAGGGCGGCCGCCTCCTGTCAAAAATGGCCGCCTGCCATCTTTTCGTTGGCAGATCGGATCCCGACGGATCCCGGCGGACCCCGGCCGCCGCAGGCGGTCCAGCAGGCGGCCGCCTGCCGTCCTGTCTGGCCGCCTGCCGTCTTGTCTGGCCGATCGGTGGTTGGTTTCGTCCCCTTGTGCCGCAGGCGGCCACCGTAGGCGGCCGCCTTCTGTCCAGTGTCGGCAGCCTTCGGTCTTTTCCTGGTCCCGAGTCAAAGCGAGGTTGACTTCTGAATTTTCCCGTAGGCGGCCGCGAAGGCCTCCATTTTGGGCGCCTATTTGGGCGCCTTCGGCCACTTTTGTCTGGCAGATGCGGCTTTTCTTGCTCTTCAACTTTGTCTTCTGAATCACCTTGATAAAATGCTTGCTTCTTCCGGTATAAATGCATTTGTCACTCAAATTGACTCATTTTGTGCTCAATTGACCCGAAATTCCGCTAAACATATTATGGATGTGATTTTTACCTGATTTCATGAAACTTGAACCAAAATATATAAAATGTGTCTTTTCTTTCTATTTTCATTCAAAAATCGCTTAAATTTGATAAGAAAAATAAGTACAAAAATGGACTTATCAATCTGCTCACACTTAAGCGTTGCTTGTCCTCAAGCGACGAATTAGTTGTAAACACACTCAAAAGGTAAGCCTAACTGTATTACAATCTAATTGCTATTTTAAAGAAGTAGAAACAAAAACCTCATCTTTTATTCTCAATTTTTAAACATTTTAGAAAAATCACCCAAAATACAAGAGTTTAAAATTAGTATTACTTAAGAAAAACTATTTATTATGTTAAACCACCAATCAATTCCTTATCCCAAGGTTTTCATTATTTTAATTTGGACATTCATCTTGTTCACCATTTTTTTTTTGTTTTTGTTTTTTTGCTCTTTTTCACTCTTGTTGGCGGTGTTATCCCATGGTAAATGCATATTTCATTCTCACAGACTGTGATTAACGAATGAAACAGAGCCCCTTTTCGGAGATGGAATTGTCCTATAACAATGAGTTTTGAAGAGGTTTATTAGTAGTAACATGTTTTTTTTTTTCAATGAATAAAATGAATGTCCAATTAAAACAAATTCGGACCTTTACATTCGCAACCAAAAACCCATAACAATTTTAAGTTTTCAAAAATAATAATAAAAGTAAATTCTTATAATAAGGGTGATTATCTAAAGTATTTTATGATTTGATAACAAATTGAGAAATTAATGTTTCATATCAAAAATAGTAAAAAGATTGTTCTAAAACAAGGTTTTGACTTTTGAGTGTAAAACGCAACCTCCTCACACTTGAGCTGGACCTCGCCCTCGAGGTCTTCTTTTGAGGCACAAAATTGGGAAATAAAGGCACATTTTTTTTTTGGTTCTTTCCTCACACTTTGAGTTTTGAAAAGATTTTGTGAAGAGGAATAATGAAACAGGAATAAAAATCATTACATCATTCATAGTCAATTTGTAAGAGCAATTAAGTCAAAAGAGCGGCACAATGTCCAACCTGAATAAACAAACAAACACAATAAAATGTTAAGGAAGAAAACTAAGCATCACTCGTGTCCTCCCGTAAGGCCTAAGCCAAACTCTTATTTCATCAACATTGAAGCACACCCTGCAAACACACAAAACAAACAAACAATGTTATGAAAAACATGGGTTGCCTCCCAAGAAGCGCTTCTTTAACGTCACTAGCTTGACGTTTGAGAGAGAACTCTTCTTTTGCCTTGAAGTTGTCCACATGTTGGTCGTGATTGCAATTCTTCCCACATGATCATCAAATAACTTCTTCAAGTTTGCTTTCTCTCTTTCAAACATCTTCATCATATCACTCTTCAAAGTGTTACGTTTAATCATTTTGGAATTTGGATTCAAGCTATTAACAAAACTTCTAAATCCAATATGTTCTACAATAGACAAGGGGTACTCATGAAGAATAATCATCTTACATAGCTCATGTCTCGACACTTCTTGACTAAACACATGATTCTCTATCCTTACGGCACCTTGCTTTTGGTTAACAAATAACAGTTGCTGGCGTGAATCAATTTTCCTGTACTTTTTAACGCACCTTAGTTTAATGTGATCTCTCGAATGAGATGTCCCATTTTTACTGGTGGCTGACTAAATGTTATTACAATGCAAGCATTTTGCTTTATGCAAACCATTGGAGAGAATTCCCAAACAAGGGTAGTTTCTAACACAAGAAGCAAAAACACGGGAGTTGTAATTAGGGTACAAAAACACGGGATTCGGAATCCCAATTTCCGAGTGAATTAGAGTGAGAGAAAATAGTTGGTGGGTCCATTTGGAATGCCATTTTCCGAATGGAAAAGAAAAAATTGGGGTTGATTCGGAAAGGTAGTTTCCAAATGAAAAAAAATAAAATTGGATATGGTGGGGTCAATTGAGAGTGGTATTCCAAATCCAAATGAATAAAAATAAAATTCAAAAACCCATACCCATACCCAACTATTCGGATAGCTAAATACCAAATGAAAAAAATAAAAACCACCCACCCAACCCATTTGGATAGCAAAATTCCAAATGCAAATAATAAAAATCCATACCCCAACCATTCGGATAGCAAAATTCCAAATGGAAAAATTAAAAATCCATACCCCACTCGCACTCTTATTCGGACACTCCATTTCCAAATGCCAAAAGGATACGTGTTCCCACCCCTTCCACACTCTCCACCTACGCTAACACTCCATTCACCTATTAAAATCTTTATTTCGTTCGTAATTCTTCACCACAATACGCAATAGTTTCTTCTCACTTCATATATACTTTATACGGAGTATTTCTTAATCTATTGTATTTAGAAATGGCTAGTGCGGATACTGCCGTTCTCGTTCATTGGAATGGCTCTATGATCACAAAAGATAATGAAATAGAGTATTCCACACATCCTAAGGTAGTATTGTTCATGAGCAAAGGAGATGTTTTTAACACTTTGTACGAAGGTGTTCTAAAACACATTAGAGAAGACGGTTTTTCTGAAATAAAATCTATTTATGGAAAAATGCCAAAATTTCAGAATTCGGTCTACGTTGCTTCTAGAGCGTGGCCCATTCACGATGACCGGTCATGGATTTGTTTTTCCCGGGTCGCTTTTCAAGAGTACCAAGAATTGCAAATTTTCGTGGATGCTATAAACAACTCTATGCCCCCTCCCCCCCACAAAATTTGAGCTTCGATGAAGTTGTTACAAATACTACCGCTACGTTTTGTGATATTTGGCAAGGTCAATCATCAACATATGGCCGAAGAAGCAACACATCAACTTTTGTGGACTTCCAATCCCCCGGTATGCATTTTACATGTTTAATAAAGTTTCAATTTTAGTGAATTAATATATTCATACGTTTATTATTAATAGAGAAAAGAACAAATTGAAAATTATGTGTATATACAAAAGAATGTGAAATTTGTAGTTTAGATTATCCGAAAAATATTATGATATTATATGTGGTGAAATTCCCATGAATTCTAATTTATGAATAAATTAGTCTACGGCAATAGTGCAAGAATGAAAAATAAAAGAAAGATTTTAATTTGAAAAGTGTTTATATTTTTGGGGTAACTATTAAAGTAAAATGTATCTTACAAAATGTATCTTGTAAAAGTCAAATGTATTTTACAAAGTGTTTTTATATTTAACACTTTGTATGTACCTACAAAATTGTGCTAAGTTGTAGATTCAAAATGGCCGAACGAGCACCATGCCCTGGCCCCGTGGATTGTTCAATGCTAACCTTGCCTCCGTATATGCATCGTGCCGAACGTGTGTGGCAAGATTCGTCGTTTGACAAGAATTTGAAGTGTATCAATTGCCCTTCAGATGCATATGACGCGGGCGAATGGCGAGATCCGAGAGTGTGGGCGTTGATACGTGATGGAGGTTTCCTTGGCATAGAGCGCATTGGGAACATGAGGGTGGACCACTCCTTAATAACAGCTCTGGTGGAGAGATGGAGGCCTGAAACACATACTTTCCATCTACCCTTCGGTGAGGTTGGGATTAGTTTACAAGATGTTGCGATCTTATTGGGTTTGCCCATCGATGGTATGCCCCTGAGTGGTCAAACCACAAACACAAATGCTGCTTGGATACAGATGTGCACGGATTGGGCGGGTTTCACTCCTCATGAGAGTGATTTGGAGCGTCGCGCCGAAATTAAATGTAGTGCTGTTACGCGTACACCGATCGGCCCCGATATGAGATGTATAAATTTTTTATACATTTGACAATAAATGTAGTGATTTGGAGTGTGATGTATGTCCACAATAAATGTAGATGGGTCGGACCCCTGTCATTTTCGGTGGGAGCAAGACATGCGTTGCACGTTTTCCGAGACCTCTTAGACCACATGAGGGAGAGTCAAGTAGTGATTTCATTCTACCTTGAATACAATTGTCTTTCAGTAAAAACTATCTTATTACAGTTAAATTAACATTATACTTTTACAGTTTATATGGACCCCTTATCGATTGGATAATCTTCCTGAAGACATTAGAAATCATTCTAGACTTTGGTTTGCTGAGGTTATGCTCATTTTTTGCGATTATGCGGAGAGGCATTACCCCAATAGGTTCTGTCGACAATTCTTCGCCATACAGGGAGAGCCAAAACCCACTCTTCAAGGTAAAGACCATCACACTACTAGCTCCCGTGATAGCGCAGCTTCCCTAACATTGTGGGCGGAATGAGAAAGACATTTATACAATCCTGAATGGGCCCCCTTTGACGGGCGAAATGTGGCTGAAGGGTACCGTATGTGGTACGCGCGGACCGGGTGAAAACGTGTCTTGAACCCTTTGCACGCTACGCCCAGGACAGGCTACACCCCTGCAATACGCGATTTGGGTGTTACAGTAAGTTTATAATTACATATGATATTCATTAATAAAATTTCCTTTATAATATTTACAATAATTAATTTTTTGTTGCAGTTGCAGTGCATTCATGATACCTATAAGCTCGCTGATAATTTGGCCGATCATGAGGACATTAAAGATCGGCTAGCACAGTGTGTTATAGCATTAGATGTAGAAGAGGTGCTCCACCAAGGAATCTTTCATTACCCTGATGCTGAGTATGAGCCCGGTCCCTTTCCTCATCCTAGGTAAGATCGTCGTGGTTACGCTGCGCCGCATATAGTGGCAGACCCTCATGGAGATGAAGACAAAGATGAAGATGATGACGAACAAGAAAATGCAGTAGATGAACATGATTATTAAGAGGATGAGGAAGAGGATGATGGAGATGAAGGCGGGGAGTCACCTGATCATTCCTGGCCGGGGTTATAATAGGGATGAGTAGATATTGTTTTCTTAAATTTATTATTCTATGTAGTATGTACACTTTTAGTATCTCACTAGCCCGGGTTTTTTGTAGCCCGGGTTTTATGTAGTCGGATTTTTGGTAGCCCTGGTTCGGTCCGGGTTCGAGTTGGGTCGGTTAAAGCCCGAACTTGGAATATTTCATTGGTCTTTTATATTTTAACACCTAATTTCAAACAAAATTAATAAAAAATACAAATCGCAAATAATAACACAAAGATTAGTTTCCAAAATCACCAACAATTCAAATCCAAATAAGTTAATTATCTTAATATTTTACTTAAGATGCATGTAAATAAGTAATATAGGTTTCTTAAAAATATTACGAATTGAACAAATTTGTAGTCACTAAAAGTTGCTAAATCATTTGTTATGCACCGTGATTGTAATCATATATTTGGAAATATTTATAAATTTATATTCATGTTTTATATTAATTGTATATTAAAGCTAATTGTTTCGGGTTTTTATTGGTCGGGGTCGGGTTATAGATTTTAAGGCCCGTCAATGAGTCCGGAATTTCGGGTTCCTTCCCGGTTTTTTTAATTCAGGCCGGTTATAAAGAAAAAACCCAATGCGAAATCATAATTCGGGTCGGTCTAGTGTCGTTTTTCGGGGCGAATTCCCCCAATTAAACTACTTGGTCGTACATATCAAATTTAATTTCTATATGTAAAAAAAATTCAAATAAGGGTCCATTTGGAAGTGCAACATCCGAATGGTGCATTAAAAATTAAAGAAATTCTATTTGGAACACCATGTTCCAAATACTTGTAAATAGATAAAAATAAATTAATTAATTCGGAATTTTGCTTTCCGAATGCATGGCAAACCTAGAAGCCTAAATCTATTCGGAACTTCATCTTCCGATTTTCGTTTTCTTAGAAACCCTACAATTTTTCCCGTGTTTTTGCACTACATGTAGAGTTTTACCGTGTTTTGGGAAAACACCCCAAACCATTGACTCTCAACCTCTCAAAATGATTCCACACATCATATTTACATTTGAGGACACGTATAGCCGTTGAACCAATAACTTCTTCCGCATTTGGAACATTAGATTCCATACCGTCAAAAGAATTTTGAACATGAGGTTGACTAGATGGAGCCTTGGAGCTTGCTATAGTATCTCCCACTTCCATACCTATAACATAACAACAAACATGGTTACGAGCCTAGAATAAACTAACAGTGAAGTCTAATAATATTAATGATATTGTTCTAGGTTCAAATTAGCAGAAAATATCTAGCAGAAATAAAACTATGACATACGTTAATAATGCCTTCAACCATCTTAATTTAACTAATTCCTTCGTACCCAAGCATACATATGAAGATGAGTAGATCAAATACATTTCTTCAGGAGACAATGAGATTAACCCGACCTGCTCATGGTGCTTTTGGGGTTATTAGCACATTTTTTTATTGCACTACTATGAAGATGAACTCAATATCTAGCATTAATATCTAAGTAGATGATGGTAAATTAGCAACTATATGCCTAATAACAATAGTAATATTGTTCTAAGATTGAAGTAATTAGATTTGAAAGGGATATATGGAGAAAATTTGAATTACCTTGAATCACTTAAGAGAGTAGCAGCGGAACTTGGAAGGATGGTTACTGGCTATCGGCAGCCGTTGCTGTAGGCGCTGAACAGATGATGGCTGAAGTCCCCTATAGGTGCTGATTTGCTGAACCGGATTAAGGGATTTAGTGATTTACCTATGTAGGGCTTACGGGATTACGACTGACGGGATTACGACTGGGGCCACTGGGCTCCAGTATTTTAGTCGCTACAGTGGACAGCCTAGAGTGCTACTATGTATTACCATACTGTATAACATATATCTGATATTAATATATCAATATTAACTATTACTAGTATTATTATTAATATATATTATTAAATATATATTATTAATATTAACTATAATATAATTTATATGCGGGTCAATGGGTGCAGGTGGATGGAGTGAGTGACGGGTCGGGTGATGAGTTGGATGACTGTTCATCCAAACCCGATCCAACTCGCTTTTCAATCCACCCGTCATCTATTTTTCATCCTTACGTCTTCGGGCTTTTGTCCATATTTTGGATTCGGGTTGATCGGGTATCTGCGGGTGCGAGTGATATTGCCAACCCTAGTTGACTACCCATCCGAACATTGTTGCTTCATGAACCTGTTAACCACTTCACTTAAATTACAATAACATTTTATCCACATGCTTTCCAAGTTGTCCATCTCTTCCTTCCCAAATGCTCGTTTTATACCCTATATTTATCCCAATCAAATTTGTGATTATTCAATAAACATTACTTAAATATATGAAAAGTAACACGACATGTAATTTCCCTCGACTATTATCCATAAGAATATTTACTATGTATGTATCTTTTCTGCCTCATTTGTCCTGCTTTATTGTCTCTTACTCATGGTTACTTTCAAATGTTCAAATATCATCTTCATCTTTTTTGTTTCCACAAATGTTTCATAATTCTTCCAAGTTTACCATCTATGTTCCTAATTTTTGGCAATTTTTCATTTCTATGAAATATTCCTTTTATGTGGTGTTCAACTGCTCACAATAATACGTAAATCTAATACATACAATCTAGACCTACAAATTTCAAGCAATATTCTCTACACATTACATCAACTAGTAATACATTATCAAAGGCCAAATCAAATTCCATCTCTCACATTCAATTTTCCACTTCATTATATTTTATGTATTACTTCTTCCACTTTTGCTAGTCCCCTCCCCTACATATGTAAACCTATAGTCAACATTCATTCCAAGTTAAGCCTACAAACAGAGCTATAGCCTTACAAACATTTGAACAATCACATGAATATATAAATACTTCACTGAGATAATAGTTGCACAGTTTTCCTAATTAATTGAACTATCAATGTTATAAGTGATACTCACATAATCAAAAGTGAACAATTCAATCACATCATTGTTTATACATACTCTCTGTTGGTGATCAGTAAACATTAAAATTACTTTGACCATCCTTTTTTCTGGTTATTAACTTTATAAGATAAATTTTTATAAATTTTGGAATTCTCCCATTGAATTGTTAAGAAAACAAAGTGACAAAGTTATCTTTTGACTACATTGAGTGAACTTGCTTTATTTGCACTTCTATTTTAGAGAGATGATCAGGATAAGGATATAAAAATCACATACTCAACCATATATGACCCTTATTTTGTATAAAAAATACTTTTTGTACACATCATTTGTAGACATCACTTACAATGAATAGTTTATATTTTTAAATTTCATTTTTACATTTTATCCTCTTCTCTCGTCACCTTTTCACCATCTCCTCTTTATCCCTGCGGTTCCACTCTCCCATCCCAAATCACTCTCTTTTTCTTCCATCATCATCATCGCCACATTTACCTTCATCACCTCTCATCTTCAACATCGTATGTCATCTTTCATTCCCATCACCATCTCCCATCTTTAACATTTTTCATCTCCCCAATTCATACTTTTGTCTAACAAAAACATGAAAAGTCCGTTTTTTTTACAATAATTAAAGTCCGATTTATCAAAAAGTTTAATTTAGTATCACCATTCTAATAACAATCTTTATACCTAAACCATTTATAAGTACCATAACACGTACAATTATATTCAAACAAACTTAAAATACATCCCCTTCGTCCCATAGAAAAGTTCATATCTTCATTTTTTTCGACGTCTCATATAATTCCATTTTAAGAAACAATTAACAATTTTAAATGATAAATTAATCATTAATATTAAAAATAATACGTTTAAAACATCACAATTATGATTACTAAGCCCATTATATTGTAGAACCATTAAAATTATTCTTCAAAATATACTTGAACTACATTAATTACTTAATTATTATCTAAATAACGTACCATTTTACCATAGGAACCTTTCACAAAACGGAGGTAGTAACATAGAAGTACAAATAAGTCAATTCAATTACATATTTATTTATTTATTTATCTATTTATTTAAGTTTTTAATATATAAACAACTTAAATAACTTTGCAGTTTTAGCTACGCATTCATGTTTAATTTAAGGTAGGGCTGGTGTTTGATTCTACTTTTTTAAAGAAATAAGATTAAAAGGTCATTTTTGGTAACACTGTTTTTCGGCTTATCAGACTTATAAGCCAACGTTTTCACCAAACATGTAACTTTGGTTTTCGCGCGCTGAATTGTGTAATAATAAGAAAAAGTAAGATTGAAGTTACTTTTCTGGCTGTATTGGCTGAAGTTACTGTAGATGACTATTTTAGCTACTTTTACAAATATATTTGTATTATTTTATTAATAAAATATATTTTGAAAATAATTTTTTCTTAAATCAGCAGAATAAGTCAATGCCGCCACTTCAACCAGAACTTCATAAATCTCAGCCGAATCAGCCGAATCTGCCGATTTTCGTTTTACCAAACGGGCTCTAAATACTACTACGTTTTAATCAAATCAAGGTAGATTCTATGGTACCCATAGGGTATCATACCTTTATCCACGTGGACCAATCAGAATATCAAGTGAATGGTAGATAAGGTATCTCATTTTTTTTAAATAGGTACCGGAGTCCTCACCTCAAATCAAAGTCCAAATCGCAGTTCATACAACTCGAGGTGTAGAAAACTAAATATGGCAATGAGAGTATCAGACAGAACCGGCCTCTCTTGCTAAAGAATGAAAAAGTCTGTTCGTAGATCGTCGAACCAAGTTTGCTACATGTGATAAGTTAACACTATTATGCAACAAAAAGTGACTAGGATGAAAAAGTTAATTCTGAGACTTTGTGTGCTCCAAATGACAAATCGGAAGAGGTTTTATCAACTTTTAAGCACTACTGAAAACCTCTTTCAACAAGAAGAGAAGCAAAGTCATTAGCGGATTAGCGGTCAACAAACGCACAATGAAAATCTAGGAAATGAGATCTAATCATGCAAATTAATCCAACCTAATGGTAAACCTTGACACACAGAGTTGTCTCCTAAGAGGAACGTTTTCCTTTTGAAGTAGATTCATGATAGTAATAGTAAAGCAATAGCAGTAATATTAATAGCA